GTCAAAACTGCAAGACTTTTCCAGTATTATTACACATATTTGTAAAATTCTGAGGTACTTCTTTAGCTTGCATTCAGTCTTTCTTCACTGAATCCCTTTGGATTCAGGAGAAGAACAGAGAAATACTGAGGAAGCACTTCATGAAATGGAATAATAGTAATTAGTCTTAGTACATATCAGCCTTAGCACATATCAGCAGACAGTTTACCTCCACGATATTCTGTGTTGTTGCGCCAGTCATTGAGGTCTATTTCTGCAGTGCCAGCAATAACCAACTCTAGCTCTCTGGCATCAAAAACGGAGACAAGCCTGGAGTCTACAACCTGAAATACAACCCACTCTTGAGCACAGTTTGGCATAGAAAGTAAAGCAGGTGCATTTTCTCATAAAAAACCTGGTCACAGCTCCAATTATTAGCTGCCTACCATAGCTAATACTGCATATAAGCAGCGCGTTTCTAATCCTGCTGCTAAATCAATGCAATTCATTTGTGAGTTTGTAGTAAACAATTCTGATACATGAGGAAATTTCCTCCAGTGGAGGTTACGGAAGGAATAGGATATAACTCATGCCTAGGACTTCTGCCCGGTAACTCACTTCTGGAATGAGATATTCATGGTCACCTGCATACCAATTTTGTAAGGCAAAGTGTATATTTTTCTATCACACATTACGCTTGCCTTAGAATATAGTTAAAAAATATTAAGCAGTCCTTTATACACATGGCAACTGAGGTTTATTCTTTTTCATAGTATTAAATAAAACTCAGAAACAAGGACACAGTTTTGTAGCCTGTGGCAGTCCTAGCAATGGCTCTGTATTTTCAACAAAGCCTGCCACAGTGCAGCTCTTGGGAGTCAGGGATGCTTGGACACACATCTTCTGCTGGTGTGAACTGGTATAAATCCAGTGGTGCAGCAGCCACTTGTACCAACTTTTTGCATAAGGTCAACTACAAGTCAATGGTTGAACTTCTGGATGGCAAAACATCTTGTGAGCAGTTCCCAAGTATACAAAATGTTGTATCATCTTAGGAGAATTCCTTTCCTCAGTCTGGTTTTGTTCTGTGTTCCTCTTTCACACCTCACCCCTCCATGGAAAAAGTGAGATGGAACCCATATTTCATTTACTCTGAGGCAGGAGTATTACTGTGACTAGACAACGGTGATCTTAGCGCAGGCTTATCTGTGTGGGTTTTCTTTTCCTGCTCAGCATCCCCCTTTATCTTGCCCTTATAAACACAACACTCTGCATTAGCACTGCACATGGTCAAAGCCATGTTCAGCTACTTTCTCCTTCAGTCAGTAATACTAAACACCTCGTGTCCACAGCCCTTGCCTCCTAAGGATCTGAGACCTCTGATTCATTTCCAAACCCATCTGCTCAGTCACCGCACCCTGTGCTGAAGAGGAACTATCAAGAAGCTGTCCTCCTGCTTGTCCCATTCAGACCATGGAGTGGTGGATGCCATGGGATTGGGAACCTTTGTTACTCACTTCGTAGAAGCCACGGACCAGTGCCTCTGTTTGCTGAACCACACCTCGTTCGACTCGCCACTTTACCATTCTCTCAATGTACTCCTTCTTGTTCTTTTCTGTCACAGGTGTGTTTGCACCCCCAGATTTCAGCTCCCTTTCTGTCACCTGAGAAAATGAGAAGGGAGTAACAAAGCAGAGAGTGTCATGTATTTCAGAAATGAAGTCATGGTGCAGAGTAAGCACAATGTCCCCTCTCTTAGATGTACATACTAACATATATGTCTCATTCTCTTGCTGTCTCTCCCATGCCCATCAGAATATAGAGATAGTGATGCAGAAGCAACAGTATGCTTGGGACAATGGTCTATTTATGTATGGCTCCCTGATTCTCTGCTCAGTCCCCAGCTCCAGTATAGCCAGAAAAATGCTCTAATTTGGACCAGATGGGAAGAATCCCCAGTGAACCATCAATACACCAAGCACTGCCAGAGCCCTGTGCACCCTGGCTGCTCTTTCATCCTACCCCTCCAACCTGTGGAGGATGATTTAAGAGGAAGCCAGCTAGCTCTGTCTTCTGCAAACTTCCTGCACAGTGCCAAGAGAGGGGGAGAAAATAGAGAATCTGTCACAGTACTGGGACAGTCAGATTCTTCTCCCCAGAGGAAATAAAATTAACTTGTTAGCAGGAACTGACTGACTTGTTTGGATTCAAAAACATGACTCTCTTCATATGAATGACTGACTGACTAAATGAATGAAATCCTTATCTCTAGCAGCAAGGCTGGAATCTTCAGGCTGAAGCTAAGATTCTGAAAACCTTGTAAATGTTTCTAACATACATACAATATATCCCATTATATTGCTTGAAAATATATTAATTCAGTTCAATAACTGCACATAAATTCTATACAGTGGTGGGTTTGAGGTCTTCATACTGGACACTAAAAATATAATAATTATGATTTGCCGATCAGAAATAGAAGGCAATCAACACTTTCTGGAAATGTGCTGTTTTTGTAGATCAGTAGTTACAGAACTTCATAGCACCGCAAGCTGCCTTAATTTTAGTTGATTGTGATTGTTAAGGTTTGAGGAAAAGAAGTGATTTAGGGAACCAGTTAGGAACCTATTTACTAAGCATGTCCTGTAGCATATGTCAATTATTTACTTTGTAATTAACTTAATTTCACATGAAATCTAATAAGATTAAAAAATTAAAAAACCCCCAATTAAAAAAGAGGATTTAGAAACTGACAGACACTCCTCCTGCCATAACAGTGATGTCTAGCACAGATAATGAACCGACTGCATATATGATTCACATGTGTAATGTATCAATATATAATATGTGATTCAGTGTGTCCAAGACATTGCATATAATGCATACACAATATGATCTTCATTATTCTAGCCGCTCACAGACACTCTGAGTAGCATCATAAATTATGGAAATGCTTGATGAGTCATTCAGTCTCAAGCTTTATTGAGAAACAGCAAGAGCAAGAAGGTTAACCAATATAAAATTAGACATAATGGACTTAAGATTCTCTGCTGGGATAAATATTGCAGCTCTCTTAATTCCAATGTAGCTGCTCCACTCATACAGCACAGAATCTGGCCTTATGGCTCCATTTCTTTCCTTAAGCATGGAGACAGTTACTGTACAGCCATTAAATTTTCTACTCAACAGACCAATTCAAGGTCCAGCTTTAAGAATACTCTTAAATTCAGAATTCCCATAATCTGCAGAATTCTTAGTGAATGATTTCTTTGGTTTCTCACTATCTCCATAATTCCAAATATACTTAGTGATGTTTGCATTTAAGCCATGGCCTTGTACAGACATTCAGTTTCTCCTGGGAGAGTCGCTGCTCTCTCAAGAGAAACCATGAGTGTGCAGCTGTTCAGGCTTTTTCTCCCAGAATAAAAATGGCCACTCCAGAATAAAAATAACCTGGGCACAACCAGGGTTGAATCACGTCCAGGAGAGTTTCTCCTGTGACAGCAAATGTCTGTACATGCTGACAACACAGTCTGACCATGGGCCATCTGGGTTAGCCAATCAGGGCTTCCCTATGCACTGCTGCCATCTGTTGCCAAGTAGACTAAGAGAGCCTGCAGAGCATATGGAGATGTGTGCGCAGGGTCGTCGTGTTCCCCGCCCCGGCACGGGCTGCACGTGGTCAGCGTTGCAAGCTCTCCAGTCTTTAGGGTCTTGGCATTCAAGCATCTGTACACAGACTCTAGGTAAGTTTTTCTACCACTAGAACACACAAACAAAGAATTCTCCCAGGTTATTTGAATGTGTAGATGCATTTGATGTAGTTAGGTGATAATTATGGCTTCTTACTTTTTTTCCTCTTGTTCATATAGGGTGTGTGTAGACAAAATGAGGGGCATGTGTGCGCAACACTTTACAGCGGGTTAAATGCTTTTGCACTGCTTTAATGGTGTTGGTGTTTGCACGCGTTGGCTGTGTATTGTGCATTTATTCCAGGCGCAATAGCACAACTGGGCGTGTAATGCGCCTTAAATGACTTTGGAGCGCAACAAGCTAAAACACCTCTGAAGAGTTTTAGTTTGCTGCCCTACAGCCGAGGAGTGAAGCACCGGGTTCCATGTGGCTCAGGGGCTCTGCAGGCAGCCCATGCAGGCAGCCTGGCAGCAGTCTGGGAAGGCAGGCTCCTCTGAAGAAAAAAAAACAAACGGTGAGCCTGATCTTTTTTTTCCCCC